ACCTGATTTTATCTTGGCAGCACGAGTGAAGTAACATTTATCACCATGGTTGGAGGAGAAGGAGAACAAGGTGTCGTTTTTTTCCGTTGGTGCTTTTTGTTCAGTTCAGAATGGGTTTGGTGAGCACCCACTGGGTGGGGAGGAGGGGTTGGGGTGGATTTCCCTGGGGGTTTTTCATGGCACTGTGAGGAGTCTGTTCCCTCCAGCCTCTCTCCTTTGACCCAACCTCCTCCCTGCCCACTTCCCAGTGTCAGGGACAACTCGTGGGATTGAACTGGGCTCCATGATCTGGAAGGTCTTTTCCCACCTAAGTGATTCTGTGATGGCACAGAGGGAAGGCTGGGTGGGAGATGCCACTGCTTAGAGTGCTGCAGAAGCATGGGATTCCCACCATCCTCCTCCATCCCTCTCCTTTCTCCCTCCTCATTTCCATGTGGGACATGGGAAAGCTCTCTGCACAGGGATGCTGGTGTGTGCCTGGCAGGGCTGGGATGAGGCATTCCTAAACAGCATTCCCAGAGAGCTGGGGATGGATGCTGCAGGGCCTGAGGCAGTGTTGAGGGACAGGTTTCAACTTCCCCCTCTCTCGATTTGTGCCCACGGTGCTGAAAATGAAGGACCTTTGGGACTGGCCTCAGTGCAAATTCCTCCGAGGTGGCTCACGACAAGAGGAACGAGGATAACGTCGAAACGGATTTGTTCCAGGAGGCTGGAGCTGTGATTCACAGTGGGAAAATGCACTTGGTGCCTAGCCTGGCTCTCCAAAGACTCGAGGGCAGGAGGAGAAGGGCCAGCTCAAGGCTGGGTGTTGGAAAGGCCAGGCTGCTCCCCATCCCCTTTCTGCTCGCGTGAGCCGCCCACGCAGAAACCAGAGCGACTCGGGAGGAGAAAATAGACTCAACACCTGCTGGCTGGCCCCGTGTCCCGGCAGCCCTGGTGCCTCCAGTGTCCCCCCTCACTCTGCAGGCCTCAGCCAAGGGGAAAAGCCTTGGGTGGCTCCTGGATCCAAGGGAAGTGTGAGTGAAGCGGGGCCCCATGGAGCCCAGCTCCGTGCTGGAGGTACCACTGCTGGAAGGCTGGGAAAAGAGGAACCAGCCTGATTTTCAGCCCTGCTTCTCCCTCACTTTCCTGGTGCAGAAAGGTGATGGCCAGACATTCGGGCCCTTCCCTTCTGCTGTTGGTGCCTGACTTCAAATTTTTCAGTCATATGTCTTCCTAACAAATTCCCCTAATTATTTTTGCCCGCTGGAACACCTGCAGACACTTTTCCTTCCCCTCCCATCACCGGAGTGGTGTGGAAGGGGTGGGTACAGAGCAGGAGCAGCCAGGGGTGCTCCAGCAGTGTGTGGGGACACTGGGCTGGGACGGGGGACCCTGTGGCCACCCTGGAATCTGCTCCAGCAGCAGCGCTCACTCCCTGTGGCGGATGGGCCGGGTCCTTCCTTTCCATAGGGCTTTTTCCACCTCTCCGTGTGGCTCCTACCTCTCCATGGTCCTTCCTCCATTCCATGGCCCTTGCTCTCCACAGCTCCACGGGCTGCAGATGCTGCTGGCGGCGGGATGCAGCAGTGCTGGCTGTGTGTGCAGGGGCTGCAGCAGGAGGGAATGTGGGGTGCAGGGGGTGCCCTGCAGCAAGGAGGGTGTGAAGGGCAGGCACGGGGGTGCGACAAGGCCTGGGCTGTGTAAGGGGCACACCCGCGGTGCACGGGGTGGGTACTGTGTGTGTATTGTGTGTGTAAGGAGTGAGTGCAGGGCACAGGCAGCAGCACACAGTGCTCTGGGGTGTGCACTCTTTGTGTGTAAGGCAGGGAACGCGCGTGTGTGTGTGTGTGTGTGTGTCTGTGTGTGTGTCCGTGTGTGTGTGTGTGCCTGTGTGTGTGTGTGTGTGTGTGTGTAAGGCTGGCCCGGGCCCCGCTCAGTGTTTACCAGGCTGGGCCGTGGGCCTGTGTGTGTG